TAAGAGGAAGAAACCGCACTGCATGTACTCTGTGAATGCAAAGCGATAGCAAGGCTGAGACACGCACGATGCGGGGAATAGAAACCAGAGGCTGCCAGCTATATGAAGGGGTCAGTTTCAAGGCTATGGAGTCTCATCAAACAGATCAAGCTAGACAATGAGCTTTATCAACCAAGGAGCATCAAAATAGATCTGAAAAAGTCGCAGTGAATCAGGCCAGGGACCACCTCCCCGACAATTCGCCGGAGGCCAGACCTAGAGAATATGGTGGATGCGGAAGTAATTGGGAGCCCAATTCATGCAGTTCTGATTGACTTGTGACACGGTGCGTTGTCTTGATGAAACACTTTTTCTTTGTCATATGCGGTCGTTTCTTTGCAATTTCAGCCTCCAAACGCTCCAATAACGCTATATAATATTCACTGTTGACAGTATTTTCCATCTCAAAATAGCCGATGAACATAACACCACTGACATCCCAAAATACCGAGGCTAACCTTTCCAGCCGATTGTTGTGCTATCGGGCGCTTCGGACGAGATTCACTAGTTACTCTCCACTCAGATGACGATTGTTTTGATTCCGGAGTGAAGTGATGGATCAGTATTTCATCCGATATCACGTATCGATGCAAAAATTCCGGTTTGTAATGTTTAAATGGCCAAACACTGCTCAGAATCATCAAGACGTTCTTGTTTTTGCTCAACATTGAGATAGCGCGGTACCCACTTTGAACAGAGCTTTCTCATAGTCAAATACTCATGCAATATAAAGCCAACACGTTCTTTTGATATCTTTACAACGTCAGCTGACTCACGAAACATCAGTTTTCGATCATTCAAAACGAATTTGTGGATTTTTTTATATTTTCTGGTGTTACTGCCTTGTTTGGAATTCCACTGCGTTCTCCATCATCGGTGTCTCTACGCCAACGTTTTAAGTCAGCAAACCAACGTTGAATTGTTGTTTCTGATGAAGCGGAGTACTTTTCAAGCCATTGCTTCGCTTGAACGGTATTTTTCCCATCAAGAAGTAGTGTAAAATCTAAACACGAAATTGTTTTTGATCCATTCTTTCCATAATGACAAAAGTAATGTCTGTCTTAGCACAATAACTCACAAACTTATGAGTAGAATATCATGAAATTTCAATAGCTATCTTTTGAAGGTTGGTACTAACTGAAAAAGCTGTGAATGCAATAAGACTAGGACCATCTATGTGTTAGGCCTCAGACTTTTTAGCCTATATAATAGTTAATTTCATATCCATTCAATGAGTTGGTAAATTTTTTTCTATAATATTTGAATTTTCACTTTATACCTGAACTTTGTTGAAATTATAAGTCATTAAGTAGGAAGAAGGTTATATGATTCAAATTGTTGTATTTAACGGAGCACTTATTAGGTAGCATTTAGTATAAAGAAGCATGAGAAAGCTATTATATAGTGGAGCACGTGTTGTAAACTATTCAGTGAAGATTTCACAATGAAGTGTTTCTTAAAAATCGAATGGATATACCTCAAAATCTACTTACCAAACAAAGAGGAAAACAACGATGCTTCTAGAACAGAGTACTAGCTCATGGGGAATAAAAGACTGTTTCAAGGATAAACAACAGGCTGTTTTTGAAATGTGGTATGACGATATTCATGACTGACTGTAGTTATTCGATAGTTTTCCTGTATCGAACAAAAAATGGTCTGTTGAAGCCTTCCATATTGCCTTCCACATTGTTGAGATATCAAACTTCATAATGGTAATTGGTTCAAGAGCTTACACATGTGTATAAATCTTGAAGGCGAATTCTTTGAAAAACCGAACAGTTTGTTTCAACGATTTTGTCCTACTTACATTGGAAATATAATAGTTTCCATTTTGATACGTGTGGAAATGTTTCACAATTTTTGAGAAATAGTTAAACATTCCAAATATTTTACGAAAAATCACTTACCTCGCTTAATTATAGAAGCAGGTAATAATTTTTGCAAATAGATAAAGAGTAACTAGTTTAAGGTGGACAAACAATAAATACCATCAGAGATACGTTTCAAGCCGATCTCTAAATAAATCATACAAATGCCGCATTTCAAATAATAACAAATGGTTATTCATGTACTGCACATTCAAGTTTATTTATATCATAGATGTTAAGAAAAACGTCTAAGCCTTCAACAATGATTACATTTTTTTCGTTAAAAATAATGCAAGAAGGTGAACAAGCGAAGAAGAAAGAAAAAATTAAACGCAGCAGCTACTGCATTCTACTTCTACTCAAAACCCAGTGAACTAGTTTGGTGAAACACCCGTCGAGAAAAGTGTTTCAGTAATTGAATAGAACTGGTTGATACTTCATAAAAATCCATATTAAAAAACTAATTAATTCAGTTCATTGTATGATTTTCACTTCAAAGGGTTTTACAAAACCGCGACACGTGTTTCGCTATACAATAACTAGATATTGTTTTTAAAAAAAATCTGTTTAAAATCTGTTTTTCTGTTAACCAGCTGTCGCACCCCTACGAACGACAACCCTCAGAAGTAGAAACTTGAGCGAGCTAAGGATGAACGAGGTCTTACCTTTTAACGTGTGATTCCTAACACGGGTTGGGCTATAGCAAGTGAAAATTGATCGTTCAGACTAGGGCTTGGATCAACACGGCAGTCAATTCGAGCACCTACGTCGAACCGCTTGGCTACCGACTATAGCCAGCTATTGTATAGCGGTTTTTGTAAAACCCTTTGTAGTGGAAATCATACGGTAAACTGTATTAATTAGTTTTTCAGCTCTGATTTTTGGAAACAGAGATTGTTTTGTATTTATTTTACGACAGAGTTTTCAGTTCAAGAATATGCTGCTAGTACATCTACCAGTTTCCATTTATTCACGAAGAATGTATGTGTTGCTATCAATTCTGACCCTTATTTCATAATTGAACATGATATTCAACATATTAATTTAACCGAAGTGATTCAAAGGATCTTTGTTGGACAACTACAACTATTCACATCGAGAGCAGAATTTATTCACACAACATTAAACACAAAAGTAACTTCTTAAGAAAGGAAACAATGTTTCTCAGTTATTTTTTCAGTGAAGGGGATGATTGTTGGCTCTGTATTACTGGATTTTTAAAAGTGATGAATGAAACCAACACAACGATGCGAATGAATGACTTTTATTTTTCAGTTCCTCTTAGCTTATACAACGGTAATATGAAACCATATTTACCGATTTGTCACGCTGCAAACAGAAAGGAAATGTATCACACGAACGTCTACACTTATGAAATTGATGAGTTATGAAAAGTGCAACTATACAGGTTGAGCCAATGAAAACGATAGAAGGCCGATTTATTCTAGTTGGCGTTCAGAAAAAATCCCTCGCAACGGTCAATTGACGGGCAAACCTCGTTTGAAAGCTGTTTAAATTTCGTTATATCCTACTCATTAGTTTGTGAGTTATTGTGCTAATAATTTTTGTTATTTTCAAAACAATGGATCAAAAACTATTTCCTGTTTTGTTACACTGCTTCTTGATGAGAAAAAATACCGTTCAAACGAAGCAATGGCTTGAAAAGTGTTTTAAGGGCTCCGCTTGGTCAGAAACAACAATTAATTGTTGGTTTGCTGACTTCGAACGTGGTCGTAGAGAGACCGATGATGCAGAACGCAGTGGACGTCCAAATGAAGCAGTAACACCAGAAAACATAAAAAAAAAGCCACAAAATTGTTTTGAATGATCGAAAAGTGAAGTTGCGTAAAGGTATCAAAAGAACGTGTTTGCTTTATATTGCATGATCATTCGACTATAATAGAGGAGCCCAAGCGGGGATTTCAGGATTTACTAAAGCGCGGCAGATTAATATACAGGGGGATACCTTGTACTCGGTTAAGTACCTCCACCAAATATGAACCCCATATATAAGGTCGCCCATGAAGGATAAAGGATCAGATTAGTAAATCTGACGCGCTCAATTACATTTTTTTTCTTTTCACTTTTAACCCTTACGTACAACCACCCGCATCATGCAAACGATCAGATTAACATTAACATTATTGAAAATACGTAGGACATTGATGCTAGCAATATCTGATGCGCTCGAGTATTTTGGGATGTGCGTGGTGTAAAATTCATCGTGTATCTTAAGAAGGGAAATATCGTCAACAGTGATTATATAGCGTTATTGGAGCGTTTGAAGGCCGAAATTGCAAAGAAAGGACCGCATATGGCAAATAAAATAAATTTGTTTCATCAAGGCAACGCATCGTGTCACAAGTCAATCAAAACAATGTCAAAACTACATGAATTGACCTTCGGATTGCTCCCACATCCACCGTAACGGCCAGATTTGACTCCCAGCGACTACTGGCTGTTCGCAGACCTAAAAAATGCTCACCGGTAAAAAATTTCGCTCGAATGAAGAGGTTTTGCTGAAACTGAGTCCTTTTTTTAACACGCTTTTATTAGCTTCACCTGTATGTATGTATGTTTGTTTGTTTGTAACTTTCATTTTCATTTCATATTTATTCCCGTTTGAATGCGCGGGATCTGTATTTGACATAATTATCGACATTACTGCTTGATCTATTCGCGGGCAGATGGCGCTGTAAGTAACCTCCTTGATATAATTCAAACCCACTTGGGCTTGGTAGCTGATTTTCAGGCTCCCTCTCCGGAATCGGAAAATATCAATGATCATTTTACGTTCGTTATTGTTTTAAGCTTGTTTTTAAAAAAATATTTTTAACTTTTGTCTTCAGAACGTCGTCAATTTGTGCAATATTCAATTTTTGGCATGTTTCAATAGTTATTCAAAAAAATCAAAAATCATGAAAAGCGGTGTTAATAACAATATATTACTTTGTTTTAAATACGAGTATAACACAATATTTCAAAATTTTTGTGCCTATCTTTCAATATAATATCTCTCTTGTTTTTCATCAATAATGAAAGTATCTGAAATTTGCCCAAAAACACGCTAATTTGCATTATTTTTTTCAGGATCTGGAAAATCATACACGATGATGGGTTCACAGGACGACAAGGGCATCATACCGAGACTATGCGACTCATTATTTGGTCTTATAGCAAAACGACAAAGTTCAGAATTAACATATAAAGTTGAAGTCAGTTATATGGAAATCTACAATGAGAAGGTCAGTTTAATATACATATATACACGTCGCTAAAAGGTTTTCCAGGGATGTTTATCCAATGAGTATCCAAATGAAACCTTTTCATTCTTGATGTACTTACTGCAAACAGTCTTAAAATAACCTCCCATCGTTTACAAAGCTGTCGTAAAATTGATTCATGAGACTATGCGGTCGATTTTCAAGATGTTAATGAATACACCTCATAAAATTCCAAGGAATAAAAAGAAAACAGTTAATTTATGTCGATGGAAGACTTTCTTACGCTACAAATATTACCGTCAATTATTATTATGAAGAGAAAAGATCTAATTCTTTGAGTTTTTTTGGAATGGGTAGACCCAAAAACTACTTAAACGATTTTTGAAATTCTCTCATCTATAGAAAGCTACATTATTAGCGAGTAACAAGGGTGGTATTTAATTTTTAGAAGAAATGAGAGATTCATATGAAAATTGTAATGATGTAACATTAGATACCAAACATTTTCCTATAAAAGTAAATTATTTATTTTGCGGGCTCTAGTTACGAGTAGTGCCGCTAGTGTTCCATTGGAAAATGTGTACACGTTGTGGGTAGATTAGGTATACACAGATGATTCTAAACAGTGGCGGATCCAGCCAGAAGGCGTCCCATTCCCTCAAACTACACTCTTGCCCTTTACCACGAAATAAACAGAGTGTATTACGCCAAGTAGAATGACTAGTTGTTTTCATTTGAAACCCTTATCATGTTCACTAAACATGTTAATTTTTATGTATTTATGGTGCGCCTCCCCCCTCAATAAATTCCTAGATCAGTTCCTGGTTCTAAATAACTCATATCTATTGGGTTTCAGATTCTTCATAAACAAGATACATGGCGATTTATCAATTTTGCTTAATTCATATCTCCCAAACCACAGTGTAGGTATAATTTTTTCATTTTTGACATGTATTTTTCTTCAAAAATTCCTTAAGGGCGTACAAATAAAAATGTTAATACTGGTCTGGAAAAACTAACAAATATGATTAACTTCCAAACAACACTGTATTCATCAGAGTTTTGAGAAGAGCAGGAAAAATTAGATTAGTTTGAATGTCTTCAGTATTTCCGCATACAAATTATTTACCAATATCTGACTAGAATGTAAATATTTCGATAATTCATTCATTCATAATGTGTGCGCATTTCTCAATGGAACACCCTGTGAATATATTTTTCAACTTCATGATTCTGAATCAGAAGCTGCTAGTATTTTCGAAAGTCTCAGTTATATTTTTATGTGCGGACAAACGGTCATAAAGTAATAGTAGGGGAGAGGTGTCAAAATAGGGGAGCAACTTCCATTTGTATCTGCCTATCTAATTATCCAAGTTGGATGGTTCAATTTGATTTCATGTCCAAATGCCATGGACAAAGCCATAATGTTGAAAAAATGTACTTATTGGTTAAATATGACAGGATAACCTTTTCTTTCGGTTCCTGAGTCATTCGAAGTGATCAAAAAGGAACATGGTGCTTTGGTCCACAACTGTATTATTGACTTCAGACCTTTGCATCTGTTTTCCATACGCTTTTTTCATAAGAGCGAAAATAATTTTCACTTTTCTTTCGCAGGTGCACGATTTACTGGATCCCCAAACAAATAAGCAATCACTAAAAGTAAGGGAACACAATGTTCTAGGTCCGTACGTCGATGGACTTTCACAGCTGGCTGTGACATCGTTTCAGGTGAGCCAAAAAGTTAATTACAAAACTTAAAAGACGAACTGTATATTGCAAGTGGTTTAAGAATGGTCCAGAAACTTTTCTTAATCTCTTATCCGTCCTCATATCACATGTTTTACACCAAGAACCAGAAACTAATATAAAAAATGAAAATCGAATGTTAATTTGTGAGGAAATAAATTTTTGTGAACAAAAATGAAAATGAATAATTTTGTATGCCAGTGAAAATGCAAAATTGCACTTTCTGAACTATTAATTATGAAATTGTCAATAGCAGTAAATAAATAAATAAGAAAAATATACAATTTTGAAATCAAAGACAGCACAAATGAATGGAATATTTAGAAATACCAACAAAGTATTCAGATAAGTTGGTTAATAATAAATGTAGTTTGAAAAACTAAAAAACACTGTTTTAAAGAACGTCGAACTAAAAAAGTGAAAATATTTTTTTTAATAAGCTCAAAACAATAACGAACGACAAACTAGTACTAGTAAACTAGTATTATTGTGAAAAAAGCGACGTATATATCAAGAAGGTTACGTACAGCGCCATCTGTCCGCGAGTAGATCAAGCAATAATGTCGATAATTCTGTCAAATACAGATCCCGCGCATACATACATATATACAGGTGAAGCTAATAAAAGCGTGTCAGAAAGAAAATGATATAAAAAATGTGAGAAAAAATTAACAACGAGAATTGTTTTGACGTTATTATCTACATTGTCAATAATACTCACAATAAAAAAATAAGATGAAAATCAATTATTACGATGGTAAAATATGGAAAAATTAAAATAAAAAAAAGATGGAAAAGGTTTCAAAACAAGCCATTCACAAAGTTTCGACTATTAGTATCCACAATCGTCTTAGAGTGATAACTCAGGTGATTATGTGTATTTTTAAATGTTAATCGGTAACTACGACTCACCAATTTTCTGATTTTTTCCATTATTTTTGACGGGTTCGACGGCTTCTCTGTACAAAGTGACGTGAAAAGTCGTCTGAAGAAACCAACCATTCATTTTGGCGAAACGTTGTGGAATACTTTTCTAGCTCCTGTAAAAAAAAAGGAACAGTGACTTATGACTTCGAAAACATCACTCAACCCATAAATATAAAGATTCATTCTCCCCACATATTCATAACTTTTCTTTATCTAATCCCATTATTCATATTCCGGAAATGGTAAGACTTACAAGGTTGGTTAAAGTAGGTGAAAGTTGCATATATGGGAGGACCAAAAATTATTTTTTCAGGCAGCGACTTTCCATGGCCGCTTTTGAGAGATTTTCAAAAAACTGAAGCTGCCTAAATTTGTTTGTTAGCTCTACCAAATAATATGGTTTTGAGTTGTTCATCAAGTCACGATTGAAGAGAACAAAATCCGGGCTAGAAAACCGTGGTCTTATGGAACCTGAAGTACCAAATGTTTCGTCTGTTACAGGGGCATACATATCAGTAGTATGTGCATTGACTACAAGTACAAAGATTATATCTCAAAGTCTCGGCAACTACCGACTAATGAGCTACGTGTTCACTCGTGTTTATAATTTCAGAGTTATCTCAACAAGAAAAATGTGCTATGATGAAAACACTTGGCCGATTGTGCCACCAAGATTTGTGAATCCTCATGAAGAAGAACTTCGTTATCTAGATCAAGCTTCACATAGCATTGATTTTACAGCGTAACGAATCAAACGTGCTCTACGACCTAGAAGAAGAAATACTCCAATTTCGACCGCGATAAGCCGCCATTGGTAGGCACAGTCTATTTGCCTTACATAAACAAAGTAAAGAACCGCATTGGAAAACTATTCAAACTTCACAACATTAAGACCATTTACAAGCCCACTACGGAACACGTCGATCGGCCAAGGACGAAAGAGAATCTCTGACATCCGTCGATGTTTACAGGATTCTTTGGCTGAGTTGACATCGGAACTTCCACGATGGCAAGAAATGTTATCAATGTGGAAGAATTGAATATCATGGAATCTGATAAAGTATTCGACTACATTGATGGTATAACAGATAACCAAGTATGTAATTTAGATATTGGAGGCGACTCCAAGTGCCTCATTTATCAGAGGATTGAAGAGAAGCCAGGAAAGTGAAGAAGAAATATATGACAGTGATGACTCCATAGCTGACTCTGATTTCGATCCGAATCCCAAACGAACAGTAGAATATTCATTTTCCGATGAAGATGAACAACCTTTATCTCGTTTGGTTATTCACTCAAATGAACAAAAATCTGTTGATTGGACCAGGATACCATTTTCCAGTCGAAAATTCAAAACAGTCAATTTCATTGAACCTTTCGGTCCTAAAGTACCAATCAATTCTGAATCACCACTCGATGTATTCCTAACACTATTTGGTCAAGAACTTCTTGATATCATAGTGAATGAATCGAATAGGTTTACTATTCAAAATGGTGTTGAGTTGAATTTGTCA